CTCTAGAGATATTTTTGGGATATCAGCTTTTCTCTGGGGGTTTCTGGTATGTGGGCTGTACTGAGCTAAAGTTTGATAACAGGTCTTTGGAATTGGATAACTGTGGGTAATTCAGGTCCTTGCACTGATATATAACATCCTTCTCTTATAATATTTAAAGGGGTTCTGACTGCTCCTTAGTAGGTACAGATCATTTCCAATTACCTTTCTTCTCTTTTTCCTCCTGAATACTACCATACCTTTGAAACATTGCTTATTTCAGGATGAATGTGAGAGAGAGACAGAAAGGAGAGAAGAAGGCAAGCAGTGAACTAAGGAACATAAGAAGTGAATGCTTTCCCTCTGCCAAAAAAGCGCCAACAGCCCAGAACCAAAACATGTTCTTCATATTAATTTTCTTATTAGTTAATTTGCCGTGGCAATTTTAGGAAAGTTGCTTAGGCAGAGGTCATAATTACAGCCAAAATACTGGATACAATTGAGTGCATCAGTTATAAAATTAACTTGGTTTGTAACGCAGCTGTAAAAGCAGAAGCATTATCTGAGCCAGATGCAGCCAGATGTAAATAGGTAACATGAAAGAGCTGGTTGTAAACACACAACTTCTCTGGCAGTAGAGAACGGAGTTCAAGACATTTTAACATCGAGGAATTATTTATCTTTTTTAGCATTTATTTCTGCTGATTTAACACATAAAAAGGCAATAATGTACTTAGGATTGTATCGCTAGTACTGTAGCCAGAATGTTTAGGACTCTAAAAACTTTTAAAATACTTTTTAAAAGGAAATGGTATCAATATATCACTGGCAGATGAGTTTGTAGGGACTTCCCATTTAAATCTGAAGGTGCAATACATAAATTCACATTTTTCTCAAGGAGGCAACTAAAAACAATAGTTTTAAACTGTTCCTCCATATGAGGGCACTGAGACATGATAGAATTTCAATGTGACATGTGATTGCTTCTGAAATTTCCAAACTGTTCATTATTTCATGAACATAACAGCCTGAGCTTGTTAACTTGATTTGAAGATGGGTCTTAAAACATTTACAAACAGGTGGACATTTTAAACTTTTCTGCCAATAATTAATCAACAGTGGGAGTGGATAGATGTGATCAGCAAGCCTCCCCTTCCTGGAGGGAAGATTTGCACAGCTTCCTTCTGCATGCTGACTGGACACATCAGCCCTGGGGCTCTGTGCCAGGATAGGATGCATGTAAAGGACTGTGAAAAGGTCCTCATCTCACATCTATTTTTAAAGCAATTTGCTAGGATTGTATTTTGGCTCCTTGCTTGGAAAACAACAATCACTTTTGAACTGTCAACTGCAGGTAGCAGAGAAACTGATTTCAGAGTTACCTAATGAAAAGGCTAGAGTTGTTCAATTTAGGCTTCAGAAGATGAAAAACAAAGTATACAGAGTAGTTCAAACAAGTTATAACAGACAGGCATATTTATCCTTCCTCATTACGTGATAATTCAATGCAGAAAACGAAAACTGATTAAGAAAGTATTTTTACCCTATAATTAGACTGAAGATTTCATTGTTACAGGACAATATTGAGGCCAGGACTTGAAACCAGTCAAATCAGGGGAAAAAAAGTATCCACATAAAAATTAGGATGGAAAACATAACCATCAGTATACAATTTATTTTCCTGATATTTGGCAGAAGGCAGAAACGTCCATGTAATCCTTCGGAGTTCTAAGAAATGTTAGACTATGGTATGTTGGCATATATACCAGCTGATTCCAGCCCTGGGCTGTTCTACAAATAGCAAAAAGCTTTACAAGTCTTGTTGCAAAAGACTTCGAAGCCATTATCAATGTTTTAAATCCTCGTGTCTCAGAGCATACTGCAACCTTTACTTGACATAGGTCAGAACTTCTGTGGGCATGCTGTTTCAGAGCTACCACTGTAGAAGGTTTTAAGCGCTTCTCAGTATTGTTTGACATTGGTCCTTATCAAGAGCAGATCTTAGGTTAGCCAGGTTTAATTCAAGTGGCACTGATCTGCACTCAAACGGATATATCCCTGCAATTATTCTGTATTCTTTTTTGTGCTGATGTACAGCTCTTTGTAGTTAGTCTCTGTGTTTCTGTAGTCCTTACAAAGTATATAAATGAAACTGTACTTCCTTTGTATGTCTGGTTTGGCTGTAAGTTTAAATCTCAGTGTGTGACCATGTAAGTTTGTGGATGCACAGCTCTTTTGGTAATTTGTATGTGAGAGAGAGAAATAAAAAGATTGTTAGCATTTTAGGATTTGTTTGTGAATGCTACAATTTTCAACATTTTCTGTATTGCTCACAGATTAAAGACCAGCCTTTCAAGTCTCTAATTTCCTCACTGGTTCTGAATGCCGGGAAAAAAAGATGTGACCTGTTTTTGCTTTGATGCTGTCACAGAGCTGCTTTTTCAGAGAGTAGCAACTGTCTTGAAGTTTTTCCCTTGAAAAACTAACTCACTACCATACAGCCTTCCGGATTTTCAACAGGCCGTGAAACAATACAGTTTTAAAGCTCCAGCATGTTGCTTTGTCATTTTCTTGCCTACAGATTAAACCTTGAATGTATATTCAAGAGGAGAAGCTGACTACTTTACATCAGATGGAAGCCACCTACAAGCAGGTGTGCTCTCAGCAGACTTTTCACAGACAAGTAATCTACAGATCATGGGTCTCAGTAACTACAGATTGTAAATCTTGGTTGTAGATGTTTTCAGATAACCCTATTCTTCTTGTTCCTTTATTACTTTATTTAAAAATCACGCCTTCGTGAAATTTAGCATTGTTGAAAGAGATCCAATGTCAGCATGGAAAACAAAAGGTATCGTGGGCAACTGAGTAGCTACAAAATGCACAGCAAGTGGGGAAGCTTCCACCCAGTGCCCAAACAATCTAATTCAATATTAGTCAAGGAGTAGTGATGGGAAGGAAGGTCATTCTCTACACAAATTAATAAGCTTTCCAGGTGAATTTTCAAATCTGAACTGTTGCGGTAGCAGCAATTCTTAGACGTCTGTAATTGTGTGCTTGACTTTCTATCCTGTATACCAGGACATTGTGTGCTTTGACTGTTTCTATCCTGTATACCACAGTTCTCACAAACAAATTACAAATTCTCTTTCCCAAGTTACTGTACCTTGACATAGGCAACAATTTTAAGGGAGATAGTTGCAAGATAGAGGGAGTTCATTGCAAAATCCATCAGATTCCACCAGTCATGTACGTATTCATTGAATCCACCGTCCCACATTTCCTTGATTTCTCCCCAGATAAAACCTGTTGAAAGAAAGAGAGTTCACTGTCATGAGAAAGGTATTTTTTTCCATTAAAGCACTGTGTATATGTGATGTGGTACAACTATAAATTAACTGTGTAGAAAAAAATGCCTCATTCCTTCTGTCTTCTAGAAAGTAAAACTGTGCTGATTATGAGGCATTTTAGCTTCATTAGGAATGCTATCTAGAGAGATATGAGAAAGACCTACATTTCCTATGTAGGGCTGCAGATACAAACACAAGAACACTATCTAAAACCTGAAGTTAGCTGTAACTACCTGAAGTTAATTGCAACTAGCATGAGTGGATTGACTCAGATGAAATTTGTTTTATACGAATGAAATATTTAAATCACTGTATTTGGTATAGTTTTTAGTGTATTGTCTGCTTCCACAGTAATCTGTGGCTCAGATGCACAGTACAGATGTTTTCTGACCTCCTCTGCAGAACATACAACACAAGTGTACCAGCTTCTGCATACCAGTATGTTCCCTCCCTGACCTGGGAACACCACAGCAGAGATGAAAGAAGTGAATTCATTCACTACACTCAGTCACTGCATTTATGCATCTTGCTGCACAAAAAGCCTAGGGACTATTTGGGGGGGGGGGGGGAAAAAAAAAAAACAAAACTAAAAGGTACAGCTCAGCATGAAAAAGGGCACTGCAGCTTGGCATCATATCTCTCAGCAGTGAGTCACATCATGCCAACCACGGCTATGGGTTTTGTGAGGTGAGAATTTGTTCCCAAAGCAATGGCGATAGCCCATCCTCTTTACTCTGAAATGCCTTCTGGTAATAATTGGTAGCATTTGCTAACCTTCACTTTACCTCTCTGCTGCCGCAGGGGTAAAACAGTGAGCTTCCATAGCTCATTATCAGTCTGCTACCTGGCATAACAGTTTTATTATAAGTAACTTATGTGCCCTTTATTTAAGATCTATTTAAGTACTTTTAAGAACCTAAGCCCAATTTAAAAGTGAATGGCAGGTAAGGTCACCATGTTTCTGAGTACATCCTTAGAGCTCTCAAATGTTTTGAAATAGCCACTTTACAATATCCTTGAATGAAGACCTGAAATGCACATGAAAAGAGACAGAACAAAATACACATCAAGCTGTACTACCGCTGCAGTTACTCAAATATCTACCCATGCCCAACCACGAATACTGCAGTGGTCACTGAAATGCCACTCCCAATTCATTTTTAGGACCTGAAAGTTCAATCTGAAAAGCAGATAATGTTGAAATGAACCGCTGCAAACATCCGAATATCAGTCTCAGCCCTTCAGCTTCCAGTCAGCAGGTCAATGGTCAGACAAGCATAATGTCAAGGCCAATAAGGTAATTTTATTACAACTGCCTCCAAATCTTTGCATGCACACAAAAACATAGAATAAATCAATGGGGAAGAGTCTGTTGAAGAACTCATACACTGTATTTATAGTGAGTTATCACTGCTGGTTACTATAGTTACAGCAATGCTGTGTGTGCTTGTTCACTCTCTCTCCTTTTGTAGTGGAAGATATTTCATAAATAATTACCTTTAATCGGGTGAAACTGTTCTAATTTCTCCATGCAATAAGCAATCCCACAATATCCCTATTTATCTGAAACAAAGGAACTCAAAAGTAAGAATAGAAAACTGTAGCAGGCTATTCTGAAAGGCTTTTTTGTATGGATTATCCTTTCATCTGCACATCAATTTTGCTGAAGTGCCCACCATTTCCTTCAATTTAAACCATGAAGTAAAGGATAAAATGAAGAAATCACCTTAGTTCAGAAAAGACATTCAGTTTTCTCAGCTTATTCTGAAGTTTCTACCTGCACATACATTTCAATGCCATAACTTAGTTTAATGAGATAATGAGGTTTGAGTTACCTTTTTTAAGTTGCAATGAAGCTACACAAAGAACAAAATGCCCTCGGTCATGATGGAAAGTGATTTGTGAGCATGATTGCAACTCTTTTTCTTTACACATTTCCCATCAGCACTTTTAGCTTTGGCGCAGTGAAGTCCACTCAGCACAGCACCCGTTTGCTGCTGAGCCACCACAGAAAGGAAGAGCTGGGTCCTGGCGCTAGGCCAGGAGAGGCACCAGCAGGGAGAGTAGAGGTGGACACATAAGAAGCCATGAGGAGCCACTAGGAGAGCTCTGGAGATGGAGGTTTGCTGAGAGAGATGCCCCTTACTGTGCTGTCTGCAACAGCACAAGCATGGCTTTCCAGGCCCTTGACCCCAAGCATAAAACTGCAGCTCACTAATAACTAGCTGGGGGCTGTGAACTGAGCTAGAGTGCACAGAAAGGCTGAAAGAGAGACAGGAGAGCATGAAAATCATTGCCCCAAGTGTGCCTCATAGTATCACCTCAGCTCTCAGTGGTGCTACATGCTAATGGCAGAGCAAAGGAGATGGGGGCCTAAGGAGAAGAGAGATGATATTCCTAAGAATCCTAGGTTTTCACCTTCTGTTGCCTTTGAGCTCACTTTGAAAGGATAAATACACCTTACCAAAAATGCACCTAAATTTGCTTCTCTGCTCTTCTCCTCTAGTGGCTTTATTTACTTTTTCCCATCTCACCTTGCTACCTCCTCACCCGTGCATCCTGCCTTTGGGGTCCAGGCACCCCACAGTTCTTGCCCAAGCCAGAACAGGTAACAACCTGAGGTTCAACCTGCTGTATTAGATACCCCTTCTTCTGCCTATACTGGAGTGATTGATACTGATTTGTTCAGTGTATACCAGCACAGAGGCATAAGGCAGAATGAGATTTATCTTCCCTTCTCTGCTATCCTGTGGCCCAGGAACAAGCAGGGCAGGTACCTGTGTGCTGACTGCCAGAGCACATCAGCGAGAAGACAAAAGCCTTTGGCTCTGCCCCCTGCCATGCATCAGCCAGCAGAAGGAAGCCAGCATTCAGGTGGCTTTATTTGATACTACCATGACCCAGTAGCTAATTCTTGCACAGATGATGTGGGAAGCGGGGAAGAGAGCTGTGTCTGTTCAGGTTTACTCGGGGTCATCTCTAAAGGCATGTCACATGGCAAAAGGGACAGCAGAAGAGCCCTAGGCCAACAAGATCTGTTGTACCAGAAGGAGCCCAGCTGTTTCATGCAGCTACTGAAGCTGGCTGCCAAATCGCTTTACAGGATGATGATGCTGAGATCAAGTCTCCATACAGTTGCCATGGGTGCGAGGCAGGAGACTGCAGGTCAAGCATTCTTGTGTTCCTGACTTACCTAGAACCCAGGGCAGGATCATCCACTCCACGATGGTGGGAGGCGGTCCCTGCATGTGAAGGTCAGTCCTGACGATATGCTGCGATGCCAGCAGGAGCATGAAGAGGAAGGTTAGGTATGAGCCGGTGTGGCAGATAAACTTTATAAATGGCTTTTTAATGAACAGTCCCAGCCTGCTCTTCGGTGCAATCAGATATGCCACAGATAGCACAGGGAATAGCAGTCCGATGGTGACACAGGTCAAGAGTTTTACGGCCCAGTGTTTCCGCCTCCAGCCTGGAAAACCATCATACCAAAGTGTTGCTAGTAGCTGCTGGCAGTTTGGCTGAGCAACAAACTGAGAAGGAAGAAAAAAGAAAGCTTATTACTGACTCGTACTTCATGTATGCTCTTCCTTATCTTACAGAGATCCTTATACAAAACTTTGGGCTGGATATGGGGTAGAACTCCACTCTTCTTTTGTGCACAGGATTTCAGATTTCTTCTAAGAGATCTTTTCTATTTGAATCATCATTCAGTATATCAGGTACTCGCGATATATAAAGCCTCATCCAAAAGTGATACAACTAAAATTACTATGAGCTTTTTCTCTTCTTATGGTTTTCCTTTCAGAACATTTTAGGTTTCGACAGTCTCAAACAAATCACTGTCAGCATCTTTAAAAAGTGACTAAAAGAGAAGTCAGGAGGGAAAAGACGGAATGCTCCAAGTGTGTGCATGTGTGCATGTGTTAGAGAGAGGGAGAGAAGATGTCTACACATTGTGTGGGGTGCTGCACATGATTTTGTGCAAGGACTCCAGCATATGTGTGTGTGGGCTGAGCTGGGCATGAGACAGCATGCAATAATGCAAAGTTCAGCCAGGTGACATCTGCTGAGAAGCAGGACAGCACATTTGTAAACGTGTCTCTTTATTAAGGAAGAGAGCAATTGTAAAATGTAGGAGATTAAACAGAAGCAAAAAGAAACCTTTGATCACAGCAGCAAAAATGACATTTGAAAGTTTACTTTCTCGCTGTAAAATAAAACAGCTTTGTGTTGGTGATACATTGCATTTCAGTGACTCCATACAAGAAGTGCTCAGGTTGTAACTCCTGACTGTTTTAATACCTAACAACCCTTGGAATTTCAGACTCAAGCCAAAATATTTCTGGCCTATGCCAGAAGACTTATGTTCTTGATTATAACTAGACAGCCCCATGATTTCCTAAACTTTTCAGACCCACAGCTAATTAGAGATATCTGCAAGATCAAGAAGGTTGCATTTATGTATTGGAATTTTAACCCATATTAATGAAGCTAAGCAATGACACAGGTTGCCCTGAGAAGCTGCAGAATCTCCTTGGAGATCTTCAAAGGCTTCTCAGCATGGGCCTGGGCACCTTGCTCTTGTGGCCCTGCTGGAGCTGGAGCATGGGTGGCACCAGCTGGACCCAGAGCTCACTTCCAGTTTCAGCAATTCAGCTCTTTTAAACTCAGATTTCTGACTGTGCTCTGCAAGTTTAAAAGCAAACTTCTGTTTTCAGGATATCTGTTATTTTTGCTCTAATTACATTTAAAACAAACAAACAAAAAATAACCAACTGTTTGAGCATGGATACAGCTATCAACAAAAACAATCCTGTCACAGCATCTGTGACCAGGACATGGCTGTATCAAAAGAATCACACTTCCAATTGACTATAGTACTAACAGCATTCATCAAGAAGAAACCTCTGAGCAACCTGAAGATGATACTACTGTTTATTACACTTGGCTCATACATATTTAAAGGGGTTCTCTGTGAGGGATGTAGTGCTAACATGCTCTACATCCCCCAGCAGAGAAGCCAGATGTTATCAGCAAAGTACTCTTTCACCCCCATAATTCAAAGCAGCTCTTGGAAGGAAGATCTGTGGTGGCAAAGGGCCTGGATTCTAAATACCAGATTCCTTCTTAGTGCTCAACCCTGGAAGAAGCTCCCATCAGATACCATTCCCCACAGTGCTGACACAGGCCAGGGCTACAGATACATGGCCGTCCTTAACACATCTTTGATTTGTGCCCAGAATTTGCCATAGCTCTTAGTTACCTGAAGATCACATTTGGTGTAACAGAGACTTCTTAAAGGTAGTTTCAGCACACACCTGTATCTTTAAAAGATTCTCTCGCTGCCAGAAGTGCTTAGCATTATTTAGCATGCACAGGGACTTTCTATATGCAATTCTCAGCACTCTATACCGGCAGAGCACTATCACTGCCATGTTCAAAATGGGAAACCAACGTGGAACAGAAGGAAAAAACAAGATTTCCTCAGTATCTGAGGAAAGACAGCAGCAGAACTCATGGCTGGGGTCCCTCAGGACCTGATCCTGAAGCACAAGTCAGCAAAGGAGTCCCAAGCTGCTGTTCTGACAGCAAGTAGTATCTGAAGGCACTTCTCTAGAGCTCCCACAGGACCTGAACACAGTCTGGGATCGGCACCAGGAACAATGTACAGAGGGAGGGGAAAAAATCAACCAAACAACTTTTCCTGCATCTCTTGTATTTCTCTATTTTTTCCTAGAACAGATTTTTGGTGTGAACAATGTTGTAGAAAACAAAATAGTATGTGACAGAAGTCAGGCAAAGTCTGACAAAACCATTCATTTCTGCAGGTATTTTTTGATTTTGTGAATGTATCTTAAACGCTCTAACAGGCTGCCTGTATCAGAATCACACTGCTTTTGGCTTTCGGTAGTTCAAAGATATGGACTGATCAAAATTATTACCGAAAACAAAATCTCCAGGAGGCATAGAAGGCATTTCTGAAGTTGGACATTTACATGTTATTACTACAGTAAATGTGGTTGCTGCATCTTACGTAGAAGCGACACAACACAAGTGGGCACAAGAAAAGAAAATAAAAGTGCATCTGATTTGGGATTAACTTACACATACAGCAGAAACTGGGCAGTAGCTGATATGGAGACGAACTCCAGAAAAAGCAAAGACCTGTTGCTCATAACTACCTGAAAGTGTGTGATGGTGAAATGCGAGACCTGGGGATGGTGATGAAAGAAACAATTCTACCGAAATTGAAAAGAACATCAAGCATTGATTCTCACTTGGTTTGTTTTTTAATCTGTTGTTTCAGAACAGTCAGGACGTTAGGTTTAAAAGCAAGAAGATACGGAAGGCTACACTGCAGTATTTTTTCATTTAAGATCACAAACAGGAGCTGTGACCGCTCGTGTTCTGCAGTCATTTGCATGGTAATAGATACTGCTGTTTCTCAGAGATGAGACACAACTTTTTGTTGAGGGGAAAAATGTATACACGCATTTTCTCTTTATCACATATGATAGAAACCTTTAAGGGGAGAACAAACTGTTTTTCCCTTGAGTCAAAGTCAGAGTCATTTGAGAAATCAAATGACTATGTTCCTCTGGTTGCTGTGCAACTTGTGAGCATCTTAAAAGTGCCTCCTCTCTGCCTAATAGCTCATTTATAAAATCTGCTCTCCAAATTGCATCTGATGTTAGTTCTTCAGATGGAGAGAAATTCACACATCATGAAAGCACAGCTTTAAAGATCAGGTTGGCATAAGGCAACGGAAATGGAAAAAGCCATTACATTTTCCAATCGAGCCCATCTCAACATCACTAAAAATGGCCTGGGGGAAATTTAAGCAGACCACACTCAAAAAGGCCCTCCTAATGTCATAAACCACCAAATGTTGCCATTATTAAAGATAAGTCTAAGCACTTACCAATGCAGGATTTCACTAACTCGTCTTAGTAAAACTCATTAATCACAGTGTTAAAATTAGTAAATACTACAGCTTCGCTTCCACATGGCACAAAGACTACAGCTGGCTGAAATGCAGTGTTTTCAACCTGCAGAAACACTGCAATTATCTGGCTACTTCTCTGCATACTACTGCAAATGTCAGTCTCATCTTTGTTTCTAGGTGTTGTTACCAGAACCCGTTGGCTAAACCACTGATTGCTCAGCTCCTTAAAGACTGTGCAGCACTAGTGAGGCTATAGCAATACACATAACATTCAAAACAGGGAAAAGCTCATCTCTAGCCTTTTTTAGGTGTGAAATGGCCTGAAATTGTAATAGAATTGTGGGACTTTTGTTTTCATTTATAATTTAAAATTTATTTACAAAGTTTAGGAAACAACCTTATTTTTATTTTGCAAATAGGCCAAACTGAGATCTGGAAAAGCAAGCTGACTTCTCCAGTATCACTTATTTGAAGGCCTTTCCTGAATATAAGTTCTGTCTCAATGTAAGTATGGTCCCAAAGGCGTTTTTCATCTTTTTTTTCAAAGCCTTTTCTTTTTGCTGTAGGTAGAAATACCGCATATCACAGTCTTTTATCATTTCACATGAACATACCATATGTGACAGGATTTGGTATCAGTTAAAGTTTCTGCACAGTGAAAAGGGAAGATCTTGACCGTTTAAGAAAAATTACACATTGTCCCAGTTTTGTAGGTGGTCCACAGTCAGTGGCAGATGTTCTGTACCAGGTGCTCTGTTTGAGAAGACGAGTATGAGTTGTATTTCTGTATTTCTTCAGCAGCTAACAGGCAGGGCTCCTTCTCATTATCTGACAAGAAGAACCTGTCCTTAGCTGAAGATGCAGTCATTCAGTGAGCAATAAGATGCAATTCAGAGTACCTTCCTTGTGAGGACAATGCTGTTCTGTGGACAAGACGCTTCGTCTAGCCTCTGAAAATGGAGATAAATTACTCCATCTTTTCAAGAAGTGAGATCAGCAACTTCACTCACGATTGGGAAACTACTGAGGGCAGAAACTACTGCAGTATGAAGTCTTCTGTGTTCTTTCCTTTCCCTTTTTCCTTTCAGTCCTGCCAGGCTGTAACATTTGGCTTGCATCTGGATTGTGCAATTAGAGAATTTCATTCTCAATGTTCATCATACTCATTGTCACCTGATCCTCTACCAAGGGGAATGTTTTTAAGGGAAAACAGCAGCTGCTGGATGGAGTATCTTTTTCTTAATATCTAATCTTAACTGATGTTTTTATGTCACCTATATTTTATTTCTTGGGAATTAAATGCTTTCTGCAAGCTGTGCCATTAATATAAATATCAAACACAGAAATTATATTCCACCCCCCCTCCCCTTATCTATGGGGAAATCCCTTATCTCTCACAGTCAGAAGTAATTTAGGATCAGACACAGATGGGCTGAGATGTGAATGCCTCGGGGAGCATCTGAAATAGCTCCCTGATAGACATCACAGGGGCTGAGCACAGTATCTCTCTGCGTTTATTCTGATTATCGTGACGGCTGCCAACAGGCTCTTCTGTTTGGAGTTTGTTGGAGTTCTTTTCTGTAC